AAAAGTCAATTCTGTGTATAGCGACTACCCAAGGTACAGTCAAACCTCTGTATAGTGACCACCCAAGGTACAATCAAACCTCTGTATAGTGACCACCCAAGATACAATCAAACCTCTATATAGTAACCACCATTTTATATACAGGTCACTTTACATGTAAATTACACTAAGCCTGCACAAAAGTGGTCACTATAGGCAGGTGATTTTTGTATGCAGGTCACTTTAATGGAAATTACACTGAGCCTGCACAAAAGTGGTCACTATAGACAGGTGGTCTTTGTATACAGGTCACTTCAAATGGAAATTACACTGAGCCTGCACAACAGTGGTCACTATAGGCAGGGGATCTTTATATCGGCAGGTGATCTTTCAGGTAAAGATAGTCACTAACACAAGTTTGACTGTATACAAAATATTGTACACAAATGTTGCATTGACTACAATATGCACACACCTTGAGTAATTTGATTTCTCCACTCCGTAGATACGGCTGAGTCATAGCGTCTGTTCTCAACCAGTATAGCGTCGTCTCAGCTAAGAAGAAAAGACTGGGAATGTGACCTCTGATAACTGGGGCTTGGTCTAACGATGTGATCAATATATCTAAGGCCTCTGTAAGGATGACAGAAATGAGAGCATGAATGGAGGGTAACATAACTCATGTGCTTCTACAAATGCGTTATGTTATTATTATATATAATTCCCGGATATAGGTTAGGTATCTGAGGTTGACATCAGTAGAAATGAATGAATACTGCCAGAGATTTGTAATCAATCCATGCCACAGGCAAACTACACTGAATACAAATACATTGTACATATCATTGTGCATGCGTTGTATGCTAATTGTGTTAACGCCACAATGTTCTACGCGAAAGATTAGAGTACCCTGTGTTGTGATTCTGCTCATTTGTGATATGTGCTCAAATTCGATTCGATTTTTTTTTAAATTTCGACTAATGTTTTGGAGAGACTAAATAAAAATTCCGAAAGTATACAAATGAGCATGGTAACTTTGTTGACACCACTGTGTTTTATTTCAGGGGAAATAAAACAAGTGGCAATTATGCTTGTTCGTGATATTTGCTCCATTCGCTACATTTTTTTTAAAAAGTCAAGCGATGTTTTGGAGTGAATGAATAATAGTTCTGAAAATATGTAAATGGCTGTTGAGCAAGAGAGCTAAGACTTGCCTCTCAAATATGCTTCCATTCACCGCCGTTATCACATCTACCATTCCCCTGATCTATGTAACCGTGGTATTTGAAACACTGGGCATAATAATAGGGGAGAATGAAACACTATTTGAGAGAGAAAAAACATGTCTGTGGCTCTTCTGCTCCACATCTTGGCAGCCATTTTCTCTGAAGGCTGCTGTGAGTGCATTCAGTGATGTCATTGTAAAAGTTGACCAATCATTACCTTCCTGTACTTTTCCCTGGCACTGTGCCAATATGGATAACTCAGACCAGGCTCTTGGTAAATCAACATGATTGCCATGACCACCATCTTTGATTCCAGCTCTTCTCTAGAAAAAATTATTCAAATCAAAGTCAACAAATATTGTATGAATTTCTTCTAAAACAAGGTTTTTATTGGCTGATAAAATTGAAACATGACACAAAGTCATTGTATTCATTGATTGGCTGGTTGGATTTAACTGTATTCATTGATTGGCTGGTTGCACTTAACTGTATTCATTGATTGGCTGGTTGGATTTAACTGTATTCATTGATTGGCTGGTTGCATTTAACTGTATTCATTGATTGGCTGGTTGCATTTAATTGCCCTTGAAATTTATAAATAGGAAACAGGAAAGTATAAATAGAGAAAATATTTTCACCAAAAACTAACCTTCATTAACTTGCTCTGCATAAATGATAATTTTCAAATCACAAAAATTATCAAATAAGAATGATTTTCATTTAAAACTAATAAGTAAATTGGTAAATTAATAAGAAATTTTTGAAAACTACATAAAATTATGCAACTTTGGTGATAAAAATGATGTTATTCGAAGGTTTATATTTGATTTTTTATTAAGAGTCAGCAGGATGTTTTTTTTCACTAATGTTTTTTTTTCCTGGCAAAAAAATTAGTGCAAGTTAAATAACTAAACATCACTTGTGAAGGTAGCTCTTTATATAACATGTGTGCACAGTAAGAATGTGGATTAAATACCGAACCTAAGCATTTGAAAATGGTGAAGTTTCAAACGATACACTACAGACACTGCCATTCTCTATGTTGTTTTCACAGTATGTGCAAAACAAAACTGACCTTTTATGGTAAAATTAACAGTAAATCAATTAAAATAATAGTGAATCGCTTGTTTTTCCGGCATTGTGTGCTATATACACAGTATGGTCCGAGAATTATTTAACATTTAGCTAGCTTTAAGCTACAGCCCTGTGCTAACATAAACTATAAACCACTTCTGTTTTCAAGCAATATATTTTTTTTTTTTTAGATTGTATGATTATATTGTTAGACTTTACATTAATTTCACTGGGAAGATTGTTTTTTAGATTTTTTTTTTAGATTTTTTACTGTTTTTGGCTGTAATCTGTCTTCTGTAGTATACTTTATTTTAGCTGGAATTAATTTTCGCCGAAAAGGCTTTTTGGGTGTTTTGTTTGGAATTTATTTTTACTGAATTTTGACAAGTTGAAATGTGAAATATAGGAAAAAAAGTATATTCGCTGGATTTTATTTTCACTGAAGCATTCAGCGAAAATAGCGAAAATAAAGTATTCTACAGTATCTGTAGGAACCATAAAGATAGGTAAGTGTATCCAATTTCTACTCATTCATTTATTCTAATTTATGTTTTATTATTTTCCATATCATAGCACAGGGAGCCTAGGAACTATAATCAACTGTACGCAGTCTCTATGAGCGTGCATGATTTATTCTGCAGATATCGGTAAAATATAGGTAAGGCTTTGGCGAAATTTGAAAGATCAACAAATATTCTCCAAGCTAGTATTTTTTATAGATTTTATTTTTCATTCTTTTCTGCTGTTTTTTCCAGTTTAAAAAATATGGGATCACTGGTGCCTTCATCCCTTGTCTATTCCTTACACTAGATACCAGCAGATACCAAATCGCTCATAGAGATTGCTTACAGTTGATTATAGTTCCTGGGCTCCCTGTGATCATAGTGGAAAAAATCAGTCATCCAGACTTTTACATTATCAAGTCAACTTTGTCAGTCCTGAACCATACTGGGCAATGGTTTATAGTTTTACTTACCCTGGATCTTGATATCATCTTTGTGGCTATGTCATCAACTCTCTTTTTTTCATCATGTGTTGATGCAGAGTTGTACTGGGAGATAAAATCATCGGTGATGTCTAGTGGATTTCTATGAAAGTAATTATAAAATATCACATCATGTTCTAAGGTTGTGTACTACGTTGACATTATTTTATGCAGAGGAAAATAGTTTAAAATAAAGCCTCTTGATTGGGACATATTCGCCCAATATTTAACCCAATTTGTTTACAACTAGGAAATTTATTAGAAACTTTATCAAAATAAAGCCCAGTAATATCGGAAGATAGTCTCCATTTCGAGGAAGAGTGCCTAGCTGTGATAGATAATCATGTTCCGAGTATTTATTAGATGTAACAATAACATCATCAATTTGAGTCGTCTGTCTCCTTGGCCCATTCCAGTTGTCATCCACCCCCTCCCACAGGCGCTCAGAACGTTTCTTGGATAATAAAAAATGACCTAAAGTAGGATCGGCATAAAGTTAGTCAGTCGCCGGTAAATTCCCCTACTACTCATGTAATAACACAAGGTAGGAAAGCTTTGACACAATGACATTGCAATTTCCCGAAAATAACACGATTTTCCAAATTATATTTCGATCCGCTTCACACAAGCATGATATCAGTAGAAACTATCGATCGACTTATATTACCTTTATTCGAACTAAAACTGGTTAAATCCTGTGAAAATCGAAACACCAGTCCAGAGCAATAAGAACAAATCCATCTACGCGGATATTTTGAAGCAGAGACCCGAGCATTCGGACAATTTCGATGTCATGGTGTCAACGCTTTCCTACCTTGTGTTATATGAGTGTAGGGGAATGTACAGGCGACCTGAACTAAACTTTATGCCGATCCTACTTTAGGTCATTTTTTATTATCCAAGAAACGTTCCAAGCGCCTGTGCCCCCTCCCCTACGGATGGTTTAATTCCGAGAGGTGTCATATTTTTGATATATTTAATTTGTTCACATACCCATCCGTATACGTCAGATCAGTCAAGTTTCTAGGGGGTGTGTTAGTTAACAAAAATCCGACACCTGAATGATGGATTTAAATCCATAAGGTGTCGTAACCTTAATATCCATCGGTGGGGGAGGGGGGGGGCAAAAACTGGAATGACCCATTGTATTGTGTATACAAAACAGGTATTTGTCACTCACCGTGTTGTACGTCGATTATCACTACTGACGCCTTGTTTAAAAGCCTGTTTCATCAACCGTTCTTGGAGTTCTTCTCGTTGGCTCTGGGATATAATCCCAAATTTGTGGACAATTGGCACTCTTGTGATCGGCATGTTGATGTTTAGAAAGTGGACGGACCGAGCTCGATCAGTGACGGTTGTTTACAATCAGTATAAATAAGTTCTTAGATCCAGAGATCAGTCTGAACAAAAAAGTACGTAACCGATACTACCGTTGGGAAGCGCTGAAACATACAGGCAACATAATTCCAGATGACAGCTGCATAATTTTCAAATATCCTTATATTTACAAATATTTTGATTTTCCCTTCGCGGTGGCCGCCATTTTGTTGTAGCAGGTACCATGGAAATAGCGAACTCTCGCATTTTGCGCGATTAGAAACTGGCCAATAAAATGTATTCTTTCTGAGATTGTCGGGAAAACTAACCAATCAGATCATTTGAATCAACAGTCTCAGGGTTTCTCGCGACAACTAAAGGCAACCGGTGATGGCGCAGTTCCTAGTAAATATTCCCCTTTGACCTTTCGTACGTTCATGTATATCCACACGTTTACGTTAACAGGCTTTCCAATGGGACTGTAGGTAATATCACTGAAACATGCGGTCAAAGGTAGGTGTAGCTGATTACCATCGGCAGTACAGAGGAGGGGAAAGTTTCAAGTCTTTGCTGGACTGTCATAAACTGTAGCGCCCAATTTATAGACTGACTATGATGAAGATCGAGTTGGTTGATTGATGAGTTGCCAAGCTGCAGTTCTGTAGCTCGCTTGCTTTCGCTGTCGGTCATTTCGTTCGCCGTGGTGTTAACGCGAAACCAGGGAAAATAGGGTATCTCGCATAGGATGGAACTGAAATGGATGAAATAGCAAAGCCAGCGGATAGCAAGCTTGGACGTTAAGTTACACACAGTCTGTACTGTACATGTTTGAGATTTGTATTTTATATATAATTGTAGGTGCTAGCGTGTTTTAAGTCGCTCCACAGAGCCAGGTTAGATGTGTTCAAGGGAGATCAGTATGCATTAGCTGGTAAGTTCAACTAAGCATTTCATAGACCATGGACAAATTGTTTGTGCAATTAGCTGAATACTGTAAAATACTTGATTTTAGCTGGAATTAATTTTCACTGAAAAGACTTTTTGGGTGTTTTGTATGGAATTTATTTTCACTGATTTTTGACAAGTTTAATGTAAAATATCGGGAAAAAAGGTATATTCGCTGGATTTTATTTTCACTGAATCAGTCATTCAGCAAAAATAGCAAAAATTAATTCCAAGCGAAAATAAAGTATTTTACAGTAGATGAGTTTTAAGTTTTAGCGTCATCAGTCGGTTTCCATGTGAGAATGGAGGGCTTACCCAGGTATTTCTACTTTGTGGAAGTGGATTTATTTGCTAGTTACCCTGGTTACCAACATTCAGTTTTGTTTTTAGATTTGTCCAAATAAAATAAAATGACAACAACCACTTCTTCGGTTTGGCCCGACGATTTCATTCACACTCAATATTTGCATTTGTTTGGTCTTGAAATAAGAAATGGGCTTTATCAAAGACTTGACCGGTATATTTAACATAAATTTTTGAAATTTGACAAGTTAATTTTGACAGGTTAATTTTTGTTTTCACTTTCAATGTTTTATCTAGTTTGTAGATCAAGGATAAATGATGAATTTCAGAAAAATAAAAAAGAAACTGACGCAGAGAAAATACAAGGAGTAAGTAATTTACTGTTTCATGATGTACCGTTATTTACCGGTACATCTATTATTGCCATGTGTACATTTACAATGGCAGCATAATTACTGTGAACTGCATAATTTTTACTATTACAAATTGTTGTGATATTCACTCTGAAAATTTGTCTCATGAAATTAAAGAAGCTCACAGTATTATGCACACTTTGACTTGATGTGGCTGAGCGAATAAAATAATTGTGTTTTGGGGAAACTTTTTTTGTTAATGTCTCATCTTCAGTTTTCAAATTTCTTTTTTTTCAGTTGTTAAAGTTGGCGAAAGATACTGAGACTCTGCTGAGGAAAACGGTCATACAAGCTGTCCTGAATGATAAAGGCAATTATGGTGAGTTCCATACGGGGACCATATTTGTTTGATTAAACAAGCATATACAAATCCTGCCAACAAACAAGCTGCACTCTGATTGGTTCAACTGTTAGGTATTAGAGTTGAGTAGCCAATCAGGCACAATCTTTCAAGTAGCCTTATAGAAAGAAACTGTCAACAAACAAGCTGCACTCTGATTGGTTCAACTGTTAGGTATTAGGGTTGAGTAGCCAATCAGGCACAATCTTTCAAGTAGCCTTATAGAAAGAAACTGTCAACAAACAAGCTGCACTCTGATTGGTTCAACTGTTAGGTATTAGGGTTGAGTAGCCAATCAGGCACAATCTTTCAAGTAGCCTTATAGAAAGAAACTGTCAACAATCAAGCTTCTCTCTGATTGGCCTGACTGTTAGGTATTAGGGTTGGGGAGTGAATCAGCTTGTGTCAGTCACGACTCTCGTGCCACTTCTGGTAGCAAAGATGTCAACAACAATGTGCCCTCTATAACATGACGGGTCAAGGATGCACAATGGCACTATTAGTTTCTGGTTTACTGGTGAATCATTGACACAACAGAAAAATAATACATTAATTAGCAATCTTGAAAATCATCTTTCCATAGTTATGGAATTTGGAAAAATGTAATTCATTTCATAAACAAAGGAGTAAAAACAAAGGAAATCAGGAGTAAAAACATGTTGCTGAAGGGATGAAATAAAATCCATCTTTTACATTCAACTCAGGCGAGACTTTTATTATCCTTTGTTTCGCGAACCCGCCGAATGAACAGGAGCCGAAAGTGAAATAGAAATTTAATTTTATTTCTGCGTAATTTCTCACGCCCGCCGACTTGTAGGCGCAAAAAAATGCTAAAAAAATATTATTTTTATCTTCATTGTTTTACCACCCGCCACATACCACACACAAATCCAAGTTGCATTTCCGTGGGAGTATCATGATCAAAGTACCGAGGTCTAGCACAGATAAGAAACAAGGTTATACATGGAATAAAATTTTATTTCATTTCTTCTCTCCGATCAATGATCTCACTTACAATTCTTTGAGAATCACACAAATCTAATGGAAAAAAAGAATTAATTTTATTTTTTTCTCGCCCTCCTCAAAATAATTGCCTTATAAAAACTCGCGAAACAGGGAATAAAAAACGTCTGGCCTCATCAAAAATAAAGTTTTTTTTTTTTTTTCAGCGAAAATTAATTCCAGCTAAAATAAAGTATATTCACAGTAGTTTGTGCCTCCTCAAGTTACCTATCTTCCCAGCAGTCAATTAGCATACTAAATTTGATTTGGGGAATTTCACCCTGACTCAGGATTCCTACAAAATCAGTCCTGTTAGAGGGCGCAGTAGTCAGCATGCCAAATCTAGGAAGAAAACACCAGTTTTCTTCACACAAATCCACAAAACAGTCCCATTTATAGTCTGCAATTCCCTTCAGAAGACTGGGACAAAAATAGCAAAATTGTTTGGGTGAAAACTGAAATTTGACTCAAATTTTGTCCAAATTGCTTCAAAATTGGGGTTCATTTCCAGAAATATTGATTGCAAAATTTAGGTGAGAAAGTCTGGAGGTGAAAAAGGACACTAATCTACATGTCAAGTTTGATAATTTCTAAGTTAAGGACTTTTTAAAATGTTTCTCTTTGTTGTCGTTGTCTCTCATGATTCACTCACTCAAAATTTACATAAACCTGTGAGATAATTTGAGTAAACATTTACGTTTCTATCCGCAGAGTTGAAAATACGAGAGGAAACTGAACTACTTGACAACTTTGTGCCCCCATCGATGAGATCGCCACCAACGAGGAAATCCAGAAAGGATAGGTGATGTGTTATGGAACTGGAAGATTTGTAGATGCGTTCATATTTGTTACCTAAATTTTATTTGTCAATAAATTGTTGAAGTTTTGTGATACAGTTACAGCATATCTGTCTTTTATTGTGTAATGTGCTAGTTTAACCTTTTCACCCCCACTTCCCTCTTTTCATCACAAAATCCGTTTATAGTCTGCAATTTCTTTCAGAAGATTGGAACAAAAAAAACCAAGCTTTTTGAGTAAAAACTGAACATTGACTCAATTTTTATCTGTTGGCTCCAAAATTTGAATTCATTTCCAGAAATATTGAAGAATATAAGAAAAATGTGGACAAAAATTTGGACAAGGACGTCTGGTTATGAAAGGTTAGAGTAGATTGCTACTTGAATGTGAAAAATAGTTTCACTTTATTTTTACATTTATGGGTTGTCCTGTTACTAGGAAGAAGTTTTCGAAATAAAAATGCGATGTCATCGTATTCAGTTCAGAGAAAGGATGACCAAAATGGAGTGAAGGAACCTGGTTATTAAGTTTTAAGAATTTGCACCGATGTTTTTTTATGGCAAGCATGTAATTGAATATTGCAAAATTTTGCTTGGTAAAAAAATAATACTGTAAAGGGGTTAATTATTCACTGGGTTTTAATTTTGCTTATTTCACTGACTGGGAAATGTGCTAAATTAAAACCCAGTGAATATGTAAAATTTAGCATAGAACACATTATCTAAATGATAAAACCGTGAATTTAAAACCCATTGAATATGCCTGAAATGGTAAATCAGCAAAATTTAAATCCAGCGAAAATTAGTCATTTTACAGTATACAGTGTCTCGCAGTGTACTTGTTAATGTCTAGAAGTATTAGAAAATTTTCTTTATTTTGAGCGAGTTTTTAATTATTGTTAGAGACACAAGAATGCATGGGAAAACAGTAGAAGATATAAAGTCGGCTATTAGATCATCAAATTGAAAAAACAAGCAATGTAAAATGTCAATGCCACTTGTAGACTTGAGAATTGTCCATTCGCTGTGACACAAACGCTTTACTGATAGCGGTTTGTGACTTGACAACTCGCTGTTTGAACAGAATAGCATTTCAAATGACATTACTGAGCATTATGTTATTAATTATGTCTGAATATGTTAGAGCTAATTTTGTACTTATTAATAATAGTTTTGGCATTGAAATAATTTTGTAACTAATCACTAAAAAATCACAACCAAGTAACTCATTTGAAGTTGTGAAAATTGTTGTGACATATTTCACATGGCATCCCACATTCTATGATTACCGGTACCTCGATTTTATTTTTATTAAGTTCTGGTAATCCTAACAAACACAATACAATGCTAATTTCTAACCTGCCAATGCTTTATTCTGTTGAAGTGGGGGAGTCCTCACCTGTGCATGTGGCAGACAGCTTTTGCCTGTCGTTGCTCACAAACAAACGTCCACCCATGAGCCTTTGCATTTTTAGTGTCACTTGGGAATGAATTCCCAATTCACATTGGCAAGTGATGACCCCTCCACTTTAAATATGAGGTACTCGAGACAACACAGAATTACACCACACTACCTTAACTAATAATGTTCTTAAATCCAAGCATAAGGGCATTCTCAAAGTTTTGATCAAGGCGATTGAGAAAACCTAATCTTTTTTATTTTTCTATGTATACTGTGTTTCATTGTTTTTTTTACATTCAAGAAATGTTTTTCGTAGATTGTAGTGTTATAAATCATGTTACCAAGTTTTGCAAACTTTTGAATTTCTTTAAAATAACGTTTAAAGCCTGCCACAATTTTGTGACGTTTTCACAAATGGCCAGAAAAAGTTTAAAAGTTGGGCAGTAAGAAATAGAGGTAGGTGGGGTTATATGAACCACACAATTTGTTTTTTTTCTTGGCCTGAACAGTATTTGATTAATATAACATGTTATCTTATTCACTGTTAAATGGCGAGTCATCATGGAGAAATGTAATATTTTTCTTTCAAGGAAGGTTTGTTAAAAGTGATCTACAAAACGTAATTGTAGTGAAGTATTTGAAGAATAACAACTACCTGTTCAAATAATTAGACCGGAAATATTTGATGACATTTATGCTGGAGTGGATGGTCCAAATCAGTTGATATACTTACTGTAAATACTTTATTTCAGCTGGAAATAAATTTTCGCTGAAAAGACCTTTTCGGTGTTTTGTATTTTATTTTCACTGATTTCTGAAAAGTTGAATGTAAAATATAGGAAACAAGATATATTCGTTTGCTTGATTTTCACTGAATCATTCCTTCAGCAAAAATAGCAGAAATTAATCCCAAGCGAAAATAAAGTATTTTACAGTACTTCCCACTGGAGGTGGTTGTATCTTGCATCTTATTGCTGTATTATTTAATGCATGTGTTTATGTGAATAGACATTGTGTTTATGGTCAAATTATGTCGTGTTTCATACGATGCTGAGACAATCTGAAGGCAAGACTAATGAGGAGCTGCAATATCGATGTCAACTCATGGAAAGCAATTACCTCTGACTAAGCGCTTTGGAGAAATCAGTACATGTTTGGAACTAGGGCTTTTGAAGCCAATAGAGCAGCTGTCATTCATGGGAAGAAGGAGAGTGGGGAAAAAGCATTCTACCCGAGTCTGATCCTTCCCCTGCAGCATTTGTGGTTGTCCATGTGCATCCAAAATCGGTCTATATTTCCGTATGAAGACTGTTTTCAGCAAATTTCTTGTCTCACTACTCATCTGGAGAATCATCCCAACTAAACACAATTTATGGCATTGCATTATATCATTAATATACCATCATTAATATTTAGGCATTTCATCACATCATTACTTTACCTTTGTCCATATTTGGGTATTACTATACCATCCATATTTGGGCATTAAATTACATAATTACTACTGTAAAGGGCTTAATTATTCACTGGGTTTTAATTTGGCTTATTTCGCTGACTGGAAAATGCACTAAATTAAAACCCAATGAATATGTAAAATTTAGCATAGAACACATTATCTAAATGATAAAACCGTGATTTTAAAACCCACTGAATATGCCTGAAATGGCAAATCAGTGAAATTTAAATGAAAATTAGTCATTTTACAGTATACCATTGTCCATATTTGGTCATTGCCTCACATCTTTACTACACTTTTGTCCATATTTGGTCATTGTATTTCATCCTTGTACAGAATCAGACGATATTACAAGTACTCTTATATCAGTACTGAAGTCTTTGCAAATTTATGTAACTGGAGCTGGTGGTACTTACTTCAAAGCGCTGCAGTCGTCGCGATCACTGCGCGTCTTGTTCTGTATGCGTCGTGTACAACAAGTGTGAAATATATGAAATTCGAACACGCGACGATGACCACCCTTTAAAGCGGAGGGGTCGTCACCTGCGCACGCGCGAGAACTGAGTCCCAACCGACGATAACAACTCGTGTTTAAAACGCAAAGGCTCATGGGTGGACGCGTGTTTGTAAACAATGACACGCTAAGACTATCACCTGCGACAAATGCGCAGGTGACAACGCCCCCGCTTTAACGTAGAAGCCTATTCATAACATACCCACAATATACTTATTTTGCAATAAATTGTGCTTCGGGGCAATATAAGAACAATGGCTTAAAAAACTAGGGGTCACTAGCCTAATTGTATTTAGCGGCCATTTCTGCAGTTTTATAACCATTAGCATTTTGCCATATCTCAAATTTTAGTCTGGTGACATAGGCTGAACAAATCATATATTGATTAATTATGTGGTACATTTTGTTGTCCTAAATTATTATATAAAAAATCTAGATTTTAAAAAATAGTCAAAAAATGTAAAATGTTCTATGAAATATTAGGACAAGTTTCTCAGAAAACGTCACTGTAACACACAAAAGAATGCTATTTTATGGTGCCATGTGACATGATTTTACATAATAAACATTGTTATGTGATTTATGACTTTTTTTCAGAAATTATGAATATGCTTCTACCTTAAAAGGCGGTGGTCGTTGCGCAGCGCGTGATCGAATTTCATGTAAATAAACAATGTATTTTACACGCGTTGTATACGTCGCTATGAGTCCTATATCGAACAGGACGCGGCGCGGCGCCCTTTAAGCCTCAATGAGGATTACCCAGTATTATGCTACTGGTAACAAGTCATTTTAATTTCCCCTAATTTACATACAGAAACCTACCGAAACTCCAATACAAACAAATATTGCGACCATCCCCCAATAGGTGATTTTCCGAACAATTGCGAGATCTCGCGAGATGCATGAAAGACGCGCGTCGAACGTCTGCCGCAAAAATCGAACGATTTGATTTTGAACTAGAATTTCTTTATTTCGCAGCTTACATTGACCGGCCGATCTTCGACAGAGGAATATTGCTTCCGAATACCCTCACTTAATCGAAATTGCCTATCATCAAATGTGGACAGCACATTATTAAGCATGGAAATGTCCCCGAAATACTTTCGCGTTTGTCGAATCCCACACGATGTTTGACGCGACTACGACGCTATGACCTTTGTTTGTCCTGTTTTTACGTTCGATTTCACGCATAACGCGTGATTCTCGCAGTGTATGGAAAATGGTCTATTGAAACGGAATCGTCTCAGTAAGTCACGTGACTTGAAGCGGGATTTTCATTAAAATCACATCAGTACAAAGTCTGTGATAAGCTGATCAGCTTGTATGTAGTTGTCGCATGGCGCATTAAAATAATTTAAGAAATAATCTATCGTGGTTGTTATCATTTGATGTGTACATTTCAAATGTTTATATTATGCTGGGTAGCCATGTATAAATAGATAATTTATTATTATAGTCTGTAAGTCTCGTTCTATTTTGAGCTGACACGTGATATTTATGTGTTGATGAAACGAGATGTTCGACAATAGTCGCACTTATATTATTGTTATCATGTCTGCCATGTCACACTATGTCATGCAATGCGGTAATGACGTCACTTTTAGAGAATTAAAGATATCATCTCTTGAAATTGAAAAAAAAAAATCCAAAATCTGACAAAAACAAAACAAAAGTCACTAAAACACGTTTTAAAACAAGTTTCTTGAAGTAAAGATACAACAAACAAACTCACCTTCTAAGTAAGCCACCATATCTATGGCAGGGTGGGTTTTGGGGTAGAGGGTTGTATTTAAAACGCATGCAGGTATTACCCGTCATGCAATGCGGTAATGACGACACTGTAATGGTGCGGCCGTTAATTTGACTCCAAGAACATAGTAATTGAACAAATTCTCAGCTTTATTTTTTTAGTATAATGCTATCCTAAATATTTAATGACGTCACTTCAGATGTGCTGCATTCCAAACCACGCGACTGGTGTTTGTTTGTTTATTTATATATATATATGTTTATTCATTTTATTTATTTTTTGATCTTCGTTAGATACTTTACGTAGCCAGGGTTGACAGCACCCTGGATGAATAATTACTGAGTATGTCCATGGTTATTACTGGTACCGGTATTCTAAATATAACTCATTGAAGGACATGTAGATTTATGCGTTTGTTAAACGTCGATAACAACAGATTTTTTTACTGGAATCGTTTTGCATATACACACCAGTTATTCCTTTAAAAGAACTTAAAAGGGTTTATTTGGGTCGTGGGAATGTTATATTTGATATTTAAAGCGCGGTGGTCGTCGCGCAGCGCGTGTTCGAATTTCATGTAAATAAAATATTTTGCACGCGTTGTATACGTCGCTATGAGTCCCATATCGAACAGGACGCGGCGCGACGACTGCCGCCCTTTAAGTATTTGATGGTCTGAATATTCACTCTGAAATAATTTCTATAGCTGTATTGGGGTCTTGATACCATTATATGAAATATTTGATTTATGAATATGCACTCTGACATCATTTCTACAAAATACTGTGGTCTTAGGACTATTATGTGAAATATTTGATGAACAAATTATAGGGAGTATTAAGTGAAGTGGACCCAAATATGCACTCTGAAATCATTCATTTAGCTTTACTGGGGTTTTGAATATTTTGTGAAATATGTTATGGTCTGAATTAGTCTTTATTTAAAGTTGTTATGGTAGCTATATTAATTTTGTCTAAATTACTTGTATAGGGTTGACTGATCTTTGATCTAATCTCAGACTAGTAATACAACAGACTCGCAAAGCCTATTGTTTAAAGTGTTAATCGGCTCAATTGCATAGGCTATGTGTGCCACGCTCTGTAGCATTGGCATAGATACCGTCGAAGTATACCGAACACTAGGATATTCTGCACACTTCGCGCTTTTTCGGAAATTGTGTATTTCTTTGTAAAACGGATCCGGACATTTTTAAAAAAAACGGGAGATGCGTTCTGGACATTTTGATCTTTGCAGCTGTGTAAGAATTTTAAGAATCGTATTACTAGTCTGAGATCTAATGAGTGTCTTATAATATTTAGTTCTGTTCGATATTACTTTTCTAATAAACAAATTGTTGTTTTTATCACAATAAAAAGGACCATTTTGTGAGTTTGTGTTGAAAAGAAGGAACTGGTAGTAAATAGGTTGCGATAGCTGTTCAGTACAGCATAACAAAATGTTAGCATTCATGTACATTACATCATTCTGACGTCACAATAACGCTTTGTTGGCAAAGGGTTCACCTTATAGGAAATCCCGGCATACATTGCGTCAGCAACTTGTAGACTCGATGAAAATTTGTTGTCATACACACTCGGTGTCATACGAAACATAGACTTGGTGGATTGGGTTAGGGGTTACACTAGCCTCGAACGGTGATAAAATACATGATCCGATGACGTAATCGACTGGGACACAAGTTTCACGTGACTGGCGGATAATAACAGATGTACACACAGAAAGGTCACGGAAAGGTCATCATGAATATCTCATTTTAGGGAAATAGCATGTTTGAGTCAGAATATTGTGTTTTTACATCATGTTTTGTTTTATTTTTTATTTGAAAACGCAGTTCATATACACCCAGTACCGCGTTTCCAAAAGTTGCGCATGTTCATTTTCCCGTGTTACGTTTATGAGTTGCATAATTATAAAAAGAAAGTTAAACAAGAATTATGTTTTGTATGGCCCATATATAATATGATGAATTAGTGCAGAGTGTATAGTGGTTATTAAAATAGAATTATTATAACGCGACAAGACTATCCAAGTATAGGAGGTGCGAGACAGCGATTCGTGGCTCAGAAAAATACGCCAGTTTCTACGAAAGCCAACGTACTGCAGACGACTCGGTGCAACAGGTGGTTTGTGGTATATCGTGAATTCTCGCTTCAGCAACCCGGGAAGTACTATAGTTAGCGACCAATATGTCCTCCCATGTGTATTGTGGTAACTTTGTCCATGCCACGGACGATAAACCGATGGATGTAGTGACGGACTACGCCCTGGGCGTTAAAGATGGCAAGGTACGTTATGGCAGGGTGTCGCTTCATTGGCGTAACAGCCGTGTGCTGCGTTGCTATCAATGAATGCAATTACGTGTTCGCCTCTTTGCAGCATTTGTCAACACTACTACTTGCTTCAGTGCGTGTTTATCGTCGTTTTGGTTCAATTTCTCTGTTAACTATACTTAAAAGTTATATTTTTATGATAGTACGATTCATTTGCAAAAATGCGCGGTCGATTGAGATCACATCATGGAATGAACGCGGCTAGCACGATGTAATATACCGTTGTTAGTTTTGTATAACTACGTGTGCTTACCATTGAAGTATGAATGTAATAAGGGCAGAACCAATAATTCTGCTTGGGTGGGTGAGGGGGTTATTTAACAAAATCAAGCAAGCACGAAATCAGAACGCAAGACCTTCTGTGATATGCTGTAAATTGAAAACTATTTCAAATATAGTCCGCTTTAGGAGACTTGACGTGATTTATTAGAGCTGCCATCGATGTGTGAATATCTGCTTGCATTATTACGTAACACCCTTATCGCATTGTGTGTTCCCTTCATGGGCCACCCGACCGTTTAGAATATTCACATTCCTGGGATCCGTTCGTAGCACTGATACGGTCCATTTAATTTTAGCCGCAGTACTAGTATTTGTTTTTGTGAAAATCGTAACCGCGGAAAATTTGCTCTGAACACTGTTATTGTAGTTATTAAAATGTCCTATATATATGATTATTCATGTTGACACGTATTGCAGCTTATTTGCGCAGTTTAAATAACGACGTGATTTACATACGAATACCAGGCGTTTGTGACGGATGGAACCAATGCACTGTGACGTCATATGTTTACATATATTTGCCAACCAGCATATGCAAGTGTGATAACAAATATCGGTCTCTGATAAATACGTATAGTTCAGATCTGGGAAACGCTCGCTACTACATTCTCCTCTGGTCATTACTCCTGAATTCAAATGTTCACTGCTGAGCATGCGTCAATTGCATTATGGGAGAGAACTTTCCAAATGAACATTGTGTTATCACGTTGGAAAGAACTATTAGTAATTAAACGATATTATTTGGATATTAACCTCGCCTTGGCCTCGGTGCACTCCCATCGCGATCCTGAAATTGAGGGGCATAAATATCCGTGGCATAGACGAGGGTTTGTTGTGCTGCCAGTATAATCAATATTAGTTTACCAGATCGAGAATACCTTCCACCTAGTCATACCAAACTCATAAAGTAGATGTGTTTACTATCACAGCTACGAACCCGTACTCTTGTTTGTTTGTTCTTCTTTTCTAAATATTTATAAATTTTGTATTCAAACTGAAAATAAAGGTTTCTATTGACCGATAAAATAGGATTTGAACATTTTCAAATATTTCATGGATGCCCACGTGACATGGCTTATTTATGTGAGTGAATCAGCTCACACATTACATGTTAAACTTAGAGAAATATCCATCCGCTAAAGTTATGGCGTCTTTGCGAACTGTGCTCTTTATTTGGTTAATTGAATAAATTGCAATTGAAATTTATAAATATTTATTTTTAAAAAATAAAAAAAAAACTTGAAACAAAAAAAAAAGAACGGGTTTGTGGTCATAATAATACTTGTATGAAAATTTTATTAAATCTCCCAAACGTTTCACGATTTGTTCTTTTCATATTAACAATTTTATTCCTTTTATAAATCAGATTTTATTCTTCCAACCAAAAGACCGTTTGAAAGAATTATTGAAAAAATATGGACTCCATTCAAAGCATGTACAGCAGATGACAGAAGGGTAAGAGATTTTTTTGTCGACGAGGGCGCTATAAAGCAAATCGTTAAGATTCTCGTTAAATTCCATTTTAGTCATGCACATGAAGGGTGATGCATAGTTTTCACATTTGTTCAAGTTTATAAGCTTGAGCGTAAATCTGTTTTTTTGTTTATTTAGCAAATCTCTAAAACTGTTTTATGCGCAGTTTGGTGGTAACTAGTGCTTGAAACATGTTCGCTCTAAGTTATCCCAAACAACCGCTTTTGTTTTCTGAATGTTGTGAAAATACCTGTTAAGAAGCTGTGTAATAGATACATATATGGGAGAGTGGCTGTTTTAGTTATTATAATACGGCAAGCCGCGAACGAGGATGAACAAGATGGCGGATCTGACGACGTCCACGAACCCTACATACGAGTGCGCGCAATATGTTGATATTATGTTAGTTTCATTTCAGTCAGTTTATGATGCCTGGTTTAGTGGACGTCCATAATAACGTGATGCTGTATCCACTGTCCGGTACGTCCGTGGCCTTGCCGTACTGGGATGTTGTCAAGTCACGTTGCTGGCCCTTAGAAACTAGGTATCACGATCCGAAATTCGCCAAAAAAGTTTTCACAAAAGCAGTGGTATGTACGAATTATCTATTTTTCACAATTGAATATTTATTATGTTTTGCCGTGTGGTGGCGATATTCATATTAGATTGCTGTATTTACTGTATATCAGAAACGCCCTCACACGACTGTTTGCACGTTTTAGGATCGGAACGTGAAGAACGGCATCACCACAGCCTGTTACCGAAGCGGTATACATGCCGAGGCGGCAATCGAGCTATGGGATATTGTTGGTGAGTTTGATTTGGGTCTTAAAATTATTCACCATTTTTCTTTCAAGAAAAATTAAAAACCTTAGACGAATTCGCGGCTACAAACAAACGATAATAATTGTAATGAACTTTTCTTTTCCGTTCACGGTAAATAAAGTTTCTTCAATATGCCATAATGATAACACACCGCTTCCAAATCTGTATATGTTTGAGCCAGGGACCCAGAGATTTAGTGTGTTTGAATGAACTAATTGAATGAACAATTTGGCTCCAACAATACAACATTCCTACAAGTCGCGCCCTCTAGTGACAGCGCTCTGCGATGTCAAAAGTGAAGGCAATTTCGTTTAAATCGAAGCTATGTGTTATGTAGATGTTCGTCATCTAGAATATTGGTAAATCTCTTAAATACGTAATCTTCAAGGATGAATGACTACAAATAAAAACAGAATTTACGCTTTGAACGACTTCCATGTCATATATTGCATCATAGACGCACTTCGGCACTAGAGGGCGCGATTCATAGAAACTTGTAATGTAAACGCTGTAATGCCATCCAAATAAATCACAATATTAATATCGAGACATATCTGTTATTATCATCATTATTATATTATTATTTTATTTTATTTGTAATTTAACTCAAGATCCTATAAAGGATACGATATCAATAAAGTTTATTACATTATTATAATTACTAGTACAATTTCCCCAATAAAATTGTTTCATAATTAGTGCTCTTTGAGTATTTTGTTTAGTTCATAGCAACAAATACTGATTGTGTTTTTGCATTGTATTACAACATTGTTTAAGACGTAATCACAATTTAATACATTGTGTGTCATCTTTTCAAAGACAAGGTTGGCCAGCGTGCGTTTATTGGTAAATGCAATCGCGATACGATTCGTGGCGAAGTTGGATACGATGCTTACATGGAGCTGACCAACGAATCATTGAAGGCAACCCGACAGTAAGTAAAACACGTAAATTTGACATTTGGTGGCAAAATGGGCCTGGTCACGTAGGTTTTGCCTAGCCGACGGCCAACTGCCCAATACACTGTACAGCCGCCACCGAGGGCGTAATTCACGCGACCCCCGACAGTGTCGGGCATAGAGTAGCCCATGGTGACGCTAGCTATTGCACAGCGAAAGTGGGTGAAACATACTCTTCATACACATGTACTGCCACTTCTCTTCTGACCATATATGAGAGAATTGGGCTACCTTTTGGTCAACAATAGATAGTAAAACTTGTAAAAGTATTTAATTTATTTAGGCCTATGGGTTCATTGAAAATACGGATTCAATTATTTAAAGGCGATATGTCTCTTGTATGAATACAAAGCGTAATAATATTTGAACTGGTAGGTTAACCACAGTAGGGTAGAAACTTTATGTAGGGTATAATCAAAATCTGACATTTTCATTTTCTCTGTAATGGGGGTTCCACAAATTGCACCCATACCCACTGCATTGCAGGGGCGGTGCGTTAGGTGTTGTTCTCGTTGTCAGCAGACCCATTCTCACTATACGATCATAGAACGAGCACCTACCCCGAGACAAAGACGGTTAACTGAAATGGTTTCGTCCGTCTGAATATGTAACGAGAGCAACAAACAACTGGTAACGGTTTCTTAATTTTGGATAACCCGATATATATAAAAATACGTTTTCAAAATATTGTTTTCACTTCTGTTCACCTGTTTGTTCTGTATATTTATTTATTGACAGTGTTTTACGCAGTTATATATTGTAAATATTCCCTAAATGTGCGATTAAATAAAAAAAAAAAACGAAAAAGAAATAAATTATTCAAATTTTTCATGGAGGGCAACGACCGACAAATAACGGCTGTTGTGTTTAATATGGCTGACCCCTCTGGAAATTCCTGGTCGAATAGTGTAGACTAGATGACGTTCATCTCAATCATGGTCAGGTTTGTAAATAATAATATAAAATGATGAAAGTAACTTACTCCTAATTATGTAGAATTATTAGCTGCAATTAAAATTAAACAAAACAACACATCTCTGTATCGTCTAGAAATACGTCCATTGACACTGACGATCAGAAGAGGGCGCTGTTAGTTAGAAGCCTGGTTTGATGGAGACTGTATTTAAGGGTCGACCATTTGATGTCACGGGAGTGTGACTTGACGAATATGATCAGTTTATTTTTACTTCTTTTTTTCTTCAATATGCCAACATTTTTTCCTAGCGTGCAATTTGTTTTCCCTCTGTTTCTAGCTTGTACTTTTTGTTTTAACAAATCGTATGGCAACCCTTATGATTTCAAACCGACCCCTAAATCTAAATAAAATATCTGTCACAGCATTATTTATACAACATTGTACCTTGTACCGACATTCAGTCCGACATGCAAAGACACATTAAAGTGGTGTCAGCTGTCAACTAAAAACCATTATAAACGCCTTTCTGTAGACTTGATTCACTGCAGAGAAACCTACTCTAAGTGATATATTTAGGGGTTGACGATTGGATACTGAGGGAGAGGTAAAAACATGTGCAACTGTATTCTCTTCACTTTGTTCAGAGGAATGTTTCAATCCCTTTTTAATTAAATGTTTAGGTTGTTTTATGTTTTATAAATACATTATTTTTCTGTAATTTAATTTTTCGATGTGCGTTCCAATGAAGTGTTTAAAGCGCGTTGGCAGTCACGCAGATTTTAATAGTTATTTAGGATTACGATTACCAAATATTATCTTCTATATATCATATTTATCAGTCCGAGCAGCGTTTATTTATTTATAAACTACTATTATGTATTTTACACGCGTTGTATACGTCGCTATGAGTCCCATATCGAACAGGACGCGGCACAACGACTACCGCCCTTTAACTGGTACATCCTAACAGTTTATTTGTTCTTTCAAGGTTTCTCTATGACGTCAAACAAAAAAAGTCTCCCTTGATTACACCGATTATATCGCCCTCAGCGCTGACCACTGTCACACCAGAATTGATGAATGGATTGTATGATTCTATGCGAATAAACGAGATTTCCATGCAGGTATGTAACAAGTGTTTCTATTGGATATTATTCTGGCCAATGGAGAAGCTGTAACATATTAGAAAATTACAGGAAATTTGTCAACGTTCTATAAAGCACTTAATTTTTGATTTGAGGATTTTTATAGCATTCTCAAAACAAAAAAAATCACAAAAGTTGATTAGATTTTCAACTGCTTTTCATGATTTTTACTGACATTCACAGAAAATTTTTCTCCCGCAAATTAAACTGGTATGTACCCATCATGCATTGTGATTGATTTCAGATATCTCTATCACTAGATGAATCCGATGATGATGATGCTGTCCGTATCCATGGCCGCAAGTGT